CCCGGCGCCATCGACTCTTGGCGGCGGACGTGCAGGTACCGAAATCGGGGTACGGGGCCCGCGGAGCGGCCACGTTGGTCCGGGGGCTTCGCCGATAGCTTCACTCAGCCCGCGCCTTCCGCGCTCGGGGCCCCGGGCCCCGGGGTAGCTGCCGCTCCTCCGAGGGTGACTCGGGCCTCGGCTGCCGTTCGCGTGTGTCCATCCGGCTGGGCCGGGCCGCTCCTGCCCCACGCTGTTTCCAGCGACGCTTAGGGACTGTGGCGCCGGGGAGAGCGGGCCTGGCCCAGCCGAGGGCTCCCAGCAGGGCGCTGCGCCCTCCCCGCCCGTGCTCCCCGTCTCTCCGGCCACCGAGAGCCGGCCCGGGGTGGAAATAGTCCCTGTTGTGCAAGAGCTCCCGGCACCCACCCCACCCATCCACCCAGCCTCGACTTTAGGGTGGCCAAGCCCGGCTTTCCCCGGGGGGCCGGACCTTCCGTCAGGCCTTGGCAGCCCCCACGCCCCCTGGGGTTCCTTGTGAGGAGGGCTTGGGCTGCGCGTGGCGACTGGAGGGTAGTGCCTGGCTCCGGGTTGGGACTAGGGACACCCAGCACCAGTTCCTGGAAAATCCTGGTTTCCTGGGGCCTGCCTGTTCCCAGGGACAGTTCCTGTTGTAGTTTGTTGGTGTGGGGTTTGGGGGGACACCGTGGGCCCTGCACCCCGGCATGCCTCCTCCTGCAGGAAGCCGCCTTGGGTGGGCCTTTCCAGCTCCTCTGCTCAGGCTGCTTGGCAGATTTGGGGGTGGGGGGCGTCTCTGAGCTCAAGAACCCCAGAGCTTCCTGCCATGTCATTGGGCTTCTCTCTCCCCAGCAACTTGGAAAGGAAGGTCTGTCTCCCCGTGCACACCATGGCCTGTGGTGGGGGTGAGGCTGGGCCCCAGAGCTAGTGGAATGTTCTGGGGCCTGAGGGGCTCTCTGGACCCGTGCCTGCCCTGGAGGGCTCCCTGTTTCATGTCTAACTTCATGCGACCCGCCCACCAGGGACTGCACCCTGTGGAGTGGGAGAGTGTGGCAGCCCAGAAGTGAAGGATGTGAGCCTGGCATAGAGGGCAGAGCCACGGGATAGTCTGAGAGTTGGGCAGCTGGTGGGAGGGGCCGTCCCTCTACGGCCCTGAGGTGAGGGTCCCCAGGAGTATGGTCGGCATGGACCCCGCGGGGCCTGCTGGGTGTGTTTTGTGGCGGGACAGCTTGTCGACATTCCCAGAGAAGGCTGAGCACAAGCAGGTGGGCTCGGCAGAGCCTCTCTCGCCATACCTTCTGGGGGCCCCCCAGTCTGAGAGGAGGCCTGAGGCCTGGCCAGGAGTTCCTTGCCCCAGGAAGGGAGGGAAGTTACTGAGAAAAACAGGGTTTGGAATGCGAGCCCCCCTCCCCCGCCGGCCGCCTGCCAAGAAGGAATTATTTTGGATTATCCAGCCGTGTCCAGCCACCCAAGAG